TGCTTTATATGTGATATCACACATGTAATGATAATAATCTTTCACAAAAGTTGAGTAACTGTTGTGATGAAAGTGCTAAGTAGCTAAAGAAAAAAAAAAAAATAAATAAAACATCGAATTATAAAGAACAGTGAAAATAAGAAAAAATATTTAAAATATTTCCTCTCTGGTCTTAAAAGCATAACCAATTTAAAAGCGAAAATATCACCCTAATTACAATATAATTAATAATAACGATGCTAAACAGTTATAAATTATAGCGATAAAAAATACTACTTAAAAGCATAACAAAATATAAAATGAGAAATTAAGAATAGTTTTACTTATTCAATGTTTAGTGCATATAATTTTATATATTCGTATAGTTCCATACTTATATTAATATTTTTTTTTTTACTATTAAAGCTTGCGTAAAAACTATTTTCCCTGTTTGAATAAGACTCTGAAACATTTGCTTTCGAAAGTACTTATTTTCCATTTTAAATTTTAATTGTTTCAATTTTTCACGAGTTGAGTAAGCCTAGTTTTGATTGAGTTAATCAAACAAATCATTGCTCCACATAAAGTGAACAAAGATCAATTCAACTATATGCGATACAGGTTTTCAATTGTTTACATAATCAAGATCAATTAAATAACACAAATAAAACAATATATTGTACGTGTAAGGGTTAAGCAACGAAGCTTGAATTTATTCCTGGTACTATCATTCATGATGGATTCCTGTAAATAATCTTTCTTCACAATTTTGTTTTTTGATCTATTAACCCATTAATGTTACTTAATAAACATATATCTAGGAAAAAAAACCTTGTTCAAACAAAACTAAAAAAAAATATTAAAAATCACTATTTTGATTTAATAACCTACTTTGTTAGTTTTTCCAAACTAACAAGTTGGCAAAAATATTGATTTCCATTTACTTAATTGCAATGGAAATTCTTAATTACAATAAAAAATTATGAGAAAAATAAGATATTTGCTTTGTGTAATTTTTATGACAGTTTCATGTCATGTAAATATTTTGTTTGAATCTAGTAGAAAATGTTCCATGACCGAAATTATAAGAAATGCGCAATGAAAATGTCCTACCGATTTGCAAAAAAGTGCTAAAAATTTTAGTTTATGATTTTTGAAGAAATAATTTTTTAAAAAAACCAAAAAAGTAAAGAAAGTTAAATTAATTAAATTTTAAAAAAAATATTTTATCACATTAGTCAACTTTCTTCTGAGCTGCAAATTTCTAAGCGTAAAACACATTTCTTGCTATTATTTAAAGGCCAGGTTTCAGAAGTAAAGACGTACATTTTTCTTCAAAAACTGTGTATTTTTAAATTTATACATCGAAAAATTGTGTAATTTTTTTTTATCGCAAAATACTTTCTCCTCAAAATGTACAAAGTGATTTCCCCACAAAACAAAGTTCGAAAATTCGGCGAGTCTTTCTTTTTTCTGTTTTGAAAAACTTCCGTCGCACGAACTTTTTGTATTCATAACGCAAATTGGTTTCAGAAAATTATGAAATTTTGTGCATTCTTAGAGATATGTTTAAGATACATTTTGGTTTCAAACTAATATTGATGAGGTCATTAATATTTTAAGTAATTTTAAGCAAAAGTTTTCTTTTTGACAAAAATTTTTAGCAGTGAAGTTATGATCTTTTGCAGCTACGTACTCTTTTGTCTGAAATTTTTTATCTGAACTCATGAATCTGAAAAATCTTGTGTCTTATTTGTTTTGAAATAATTAAAAAATTGCAAAACAGCATTTTTTTTCACGATCAAAAATCCATTCACTTTAATATCTTGAATTTTTATCACTTTACCGATAATCTATCCCACTGTGGTTTGGGCAGGAGAAAGGAACGAGCTCAGATCGCGAAACCATCTGAAAAGAACTGTACCAGTAGTTCCATAGTTTATACTTGAAGAGATAGTGAGCAGTGGGTTTAAAGTGAAAAATATTAAAATGAAAAATATTAAAATTTAAAATAAATTAAGGTGTAAAATATATTGAGGTATAAAAGCTGGGATATTAAACATGATTTAAGTGGAAAGACAGAGTGAAGTGATCACGGGCAAGAACTTGGTCCAGATTGCAAAAAGATCTGAAATGCACAAGCAGCAATTCCAATGAAGTTGAGAAGCGAAAACCAGGAAGTGGAGTTCCTTATTCTGATTAAACGTAAATGTCAAGAGAGTACTCTTTTAATTTTTTTTTTCTCAAAAAATCACGTTTTATTTATCAATATTACAAATATAAGATGAGGTAAAATTAGTTGGAAGTATTAATATGAAATTAAAATTATTGAAGAAAAATGATTTGCCAGATATTAAAATAAACATGTTTACCAAGATATCAGAAAAAAGGAAGGAAGGATATTTGACGAAACCTTGTTCTAAGAAGCAATTTTAATGTTAAAATTTTAATGAATGAGAAATTTAAATATTTCAATTTAAAATTTAATTTTGTCTACGGCTGGTACTCAGTGACTCGTTTCGCAAATTTTAATAATTTCTGAACAGTAAAAAATAGTAATTATTTGTTTTATGGAAAGTCTTTATTTTAATATTACGTATTAGTATCTTAATATGTTGGTATCTTAATTTATTTAAAAACAAACGTTTGCAATTGGATATTTGCACTTAAAGAAGAAGCTCACACATGTGACCTATGAAACCAGCGGATTATTAAAAGCAAAATGGCGTGTTAAAGTTGAGCAATATTTTTTCACAAAAGTTAGAATATTAATTAAATACAGCGCAGTATCGCATGTCAAATTTGTTGAAATACAATTCTTTCTTGTCTTCGTCTTTTACTTAACTTAGATTTATTATTTATTTATGTTTTTTATTTTGACCGCCATATATTTTTGTTTTAGGTACCTGGCAACTTCGAGGCATAATTAGTGTGCTTATGCTCTTCATGGCTTCATGCCTGTCTTTGTGTTAAGTAAGAAATATACAGCGAAAGATTTCAAATCCTTGTGAAAGAGTCTCTGTGTAAGAATATAGAACGCGTCACTTAAGTGAATTCATACTTGACGGGCTTGGCATACTCGAAATATAATGGAAAGACAGTTGCTAGACAAATGCCACTTTTCAACAACCAAACAGGATTGGAATACCCACACTACGACACTTGCAGGCATCCCATTGATAATAAGAAAATGATTTCGAACTACCGCCACTTATTTAACCGTTTCTCAAAAAAAAAAATGCTCTCTGTTCCTTTCACTTCATTTCGTTTATTTTTAATAAACTGAACCAAATCGCGACGATTTTTGTCACAAACAAACAAATTAGGAAATTTTGCTGCACACAGCAATATTTCATGAGTTACAAATTGTAATTTAAAAGCTTTTTAATAGAAAATATGAAATTACGATCCCCTTATGCTTTAACATTAGAAAACAACATCCTTAGCGAAAATGAGAAATTGCTTTTGTATTTCCGCCATTTATAAAATCACTTGCACAGAATTTTTTTTTTTACTCAATTTAATTCATTCCTTTTTAACAAAATTAACCGTATCGTAACTTTGAATGGCAAATTTTATCCAGCAATAGTTTGCATAAGTTATTAAAAATAAACTAATATATATTTTAAAGAAAATATGGTTCAGGATTTACATTATAAGATAACACCTATAAAGAAAAAGCTAAACAAATTTGATGCTTATCAAAATAATTGATCAGTATAATAAAGATTCGGTTGCTTTAAGAGTAATTTAGATTACTCGGGAAAAAATGCGATTTTTAGCTAAAATACTGTAGCGTAGAAGAAAGCAAACATATAAATGCAATAATTTTTTTTTAAAAAAAATCGATGAATTAAACTTAATTTTTTTAAAAATGTTTTCAAATTTTGCAGAAAAATGATAAATTTTAAATTTAGCACTTTCTTTACAGATTGTAGTATATTATTTCAACTCAGTATTTTTTTTCTTCACATTTTAGTCAAGAAACAAAATTCTCTAAAATCAAATAANCTAATTTATATTAAATGAAGCTTTAAGAGTTTCTGTAAATTCTAATAAACCTGAAAAAATTTTTATAAATTGCGTAATAGGAGCCTTAATTGTTTTTAATCACTGACAGTATTTTTTTTTCTTCACATTTTAGTCAGGAAACAAAATTCTCTAAAATCAAATAAGATACTTTTACACCATAAAACTCTCAGAAAGGTTACTTGAATATTGAATATGAATATGAATATATATATAATATTTTTTAAGCGATGAAATTATACTATTTGATATAATACAAATAATTAATTATATAGTATAAGTGATATTTATTGGGGGGAAATAATTATTTTCCTTTCACATACTCTAATGCATTTTTTAAATATATAAAAAAACTAAATTATTTTTGTAATAGTTATTTTATAATACTGTTTAATTTAAAAATCTGAAATTTGAAGTACAGGCTTATCTAAATCTCCATTACTACTTTACAATCACCTGTATCTACATCAATTAATGTATAACTTTTAAATTATTATTTTTAATTAGTTTATTGCTTACGTAATAATTATATTGCTACGTTATATGATTATCAGTAATTAGTTTAGCTGTGTAGTAATTAATTATTATTAGTAGTTAAATACATGTAATTTTAGACATATATTTGTAATTATAGATATATTAGCAATTATAGATATGTTAGTAATTATAGATAGACGTTTTAGAAGATTAATCACTTAAGTATTAAAATCCAACAGTGACAAACATGATTAAATACTTGTTAAGTGATTGTACGTTTGTTTTTATATTTTGATCTTTCACTATCCATTATATAATACATTTTTACTGTCACGAAACTTCAGATATGTAGAGAATGAATAGCATGATTTTGAAGTAACACGCGGGCGTAGATCTTGGAAGGTGAATGTCTTTTCACTTATCAAAACATGACTCATAACATTCCGAAACATTTTATACTACCTTTTTATATGCTCCGCAAAACAAACAAAAAATAAAAAAATACATTCACTTACTTTTCTTGAACTTGTCATTAAATAGTGTTCCACGTCTCATTCGAAAACGATATTTTTAAAAATCAATTTTAGCAGACGATTTTCTTCGGAACCACGTTTACAAGACTATATGAAGTTTTTATGACATAGATGTGATCTGGCCGAGTTCTATCGAGAAGAATGGGTTCCGATTTGATATTACCTATTACCTGAGCCAGTTCTCTGAAGAAACCGGTTCAAGAAGTTGAATAAGAAGTGTCATTACGTCTTGTTTCTCCTCCAATATTTACATCCTTCGCCGCTAAGCTTCAATCACGTTACTATGACAACCATGAATCAAACAGCGTCGGCTAGCACTGCCACTTTTCTGTGCGTTATGGTTCCCTCACTTGAAAGATATATGATACATTCAGGACAGCTGATCTATCCAAAATGTTTTTGTTTCGACGCCTTTTTGAAATTCACACAATGTGAGAATGTGTTTTCGTGTTACTGATCCAGGAAGGAAAAGTGAAAACTACATGAAAAATAAATATCAATTTCGCTACTTACCATTACAAATAAAATTAGAGATTGCAGCAATTTGTCAACAACATAAATTAAAAATTATATTTATATAAGTGTAAATTTTTAAATTTGCTTATACAAAGTAAAGTAAAGAAGGTTTGCATGAACTTGTACAGGATGAAAAAAAGACGGAGTTTGAATGTTTGAGATGTTATAATAATAATAAAATAATAAAAAAAGTTAGAGAAAAATAAAACACTATTGAAATTGGAATTTGCTGAAATAATCCCTGACTCTTGAACCAAATATTCAGCTTGTTTGCCTACAAAAACGCTTTTGATATTTTAATAATGAATTATTGATGCATTAAGAAAGTTTATATTTATACTGCATTTTAACTCAATATCTGCATTTTAACTAAATTCTGATGATTTTTGGTAAATCAAATCTGACATTGCGTAAAGAAGTTAATAGACAGAGCTATTTCAAGGGTAAGAAATTTCTTTCTTTTGAATTACTTTTGCAGAATAATCTTGTCTTGTCTGAACAACTCTATCGTATCACCTCACACTTTACCTCACCATAAAATAATTTTGTCTGAATAACACGCCAAATAGCAGATAAAATAATTACATGGAACTCCATACGATTATAATACGATTGGATGCAAAGTTCAATAAGACATATTTAGGGAGTGTTATTCACATATGGGTTAAAGTACTAATGTCCGAATAGTAAAACAAATATTTAATAGCAGTAGTATCTTATTTACATCGTGATAGAGATGCATGAATTATTTTATTTTATAACCGTCGTTGAACAGTCGAATTCGGTAGTCTTGTAATTTCGAACCCAATCCTGAAGGCAAGGGAGCTTCTGATCAAGTATTAGGAGAAATTTGCCTTCGTGGAGGACTTGTTGACGGAACTAACCCGCACTTGCGTTATATGGGGAGAAAAACCACGAAAACCTCCCACGCATAACCTGACGGCAAAGGGACTCCAACCCATGATCTGACTACCACTGAGGATATTTTACATCAGCACAGTGATCGGTGGGAACCGGATGCGGAATTCGTATGGACCAGCCATCGCTGGAATTTGAACCCCGACCATCTCATTGGAAGGCGAGCGCTCTATCCTCTGAGCCATCAAGGCTCCGCATGAGTTATTGTCGACGATCTGAGAAGCATCCCTAAAAATGATCCGAAGACATGCAATCACAATTTCGATCTTCTGCAGAGGGGATGACTTCCTCGCTTTGGTAACACGATAGCTTGTTCCCGAAGTCGAGCAGATTACTGTAGAACAGCTTAACGGTAGAACAGCTTCGTTGAATGATCAAAGTGGTCACCCACCTGCTCACTGACCGCAGCCGGTGATGCTTGGTTTCGGTGGTCTACTGGGAATCACTTACGATTAATAGCAGTGTATTAATCCACTGTGGGACAATAAATATTTAGATTGTATTAAAATAAAGTAATAAATGTCTGAATAGTTTTCACGTTGAGGAAGTGTATCCCTCTAGTCTGTAAAGTCCTAATACAATCAAATGCTTTATTTTCGGTACACACCTTGTGTTTTTTATGGTATATTTTTGCGTGAATTTTACAGCTCAGCTGCAATCTCGCACAAGCCAAGATGACCGAGGGACTAGGTGAGAGGGTTGCAGGTTTGTGTATAGAGAACTCACTGAAGCATCTCAGCATTTATCGATGAACAACTTAGCAAATGGGGCAATACAATTTAAACTAATGAATTTTAAGTAAGAGAGATAAAAAAAAAATATTACTCATGCTCACCAAATGTTTGATACATTCTAAAGCGATAACATTGTTTCCTAAAAACTCTAAGGAGGCAATGGTTAAATAAAAATCATAAAAGGTCCCACTAAATTGCTTCATTCCTTTTGTCGATATTGTCAATAAATATGTAAATTAAGCAATAAATTTTGAATTAATGAATCTTAACGAATTCAAAATAATTAAAAGGGAAGATTTCGTACTTTATTCTTATTCAAATAGAATCGGTACCAGAAAATACTTGCTGTGCAATAATAAATAAGTAAAAATAAATAAAAATAAATAAATAAAAATAAATAAATAAATAAAAATAAATGAATAAAAATAAATAAATAAAAATAAATAAATAAATAAATAAAAATAAATAAATAAATACAGATCATTTATCAAAGTGTCTAAAAGGTAAGCTTTTTGAGAATGATATTTTCCCTCATTGAGCCTATTAAGCAATAAATAATTATAAATAAAAAACTTTACGTAAAAATGCTTGAAATGTTACTCCCTGAAAGATTTGACATTTTTTAACTTATGCTGTGACAAACCTGGTTTCAGATAAATAGAACAGTATAAAAACAATTAAAATGTAAATGTTCTCAGGATTGTCTTAATCCACGGTTAGAAATCTGTTGCCCCAGTTCCTAGCCCAGCTCCAAGATTAACTTTGGAAGACTTTATAAGACAAGACTCAATGAAAAAAGTTTAAAAAATGAAACAAATATTTTTTATTTATTTAATAGCCTGATTAAGGGATCTTATAATTTATCCCCTAACTTGAGCATCATCTGAAGAGGGCGTATTATAAGCGTATTCTACCAATAAAGAAGTAAAGTGCAAGAACAAAAATCAAAATCTGTTCTCTATGTACAAAAAGCAAAAAAAAAAAAATACAAAAAAAATTGGAAAACAAATATAGGGAAAAAAAAACTCAATTCATAACTATAAAGATGCATATCGTCTTACTAGTTCTTTCTAAACTATGAGAACTTTTATTTCGAAGATCAAGTTAAGAGTCAGAAAAATCTCGCTAAAATTGCACAGTTGAAACCTTGTTACTATGTAAGGTCATTACTCGTACCACCTGTACTAATTATAGAGAGGACAAGGACAAAATAAAAATAAAAAATTAAAATGTTTTATTAATATTTTTTAGCATATGTGTATGTTTTTAGAAATTTTGACACCTATCCTTTGACTTCATATTTATATCAAAGTTCTCTTTTGAAATTATAAAAAATAATTATAATGTTCGCCAAATGGCCCCCTCGAAAGCAGGTGTTTATAATCATTGGAAAACAAAGGAGAGCAATGCTCATAACCTGAAAAAAATAGCATAAATAGAAAATCGTAGAATAGGATCACGTTTTTCCAAAAATTTGCCTTCGTGGAGGACTTTTTGATGGAACTAACCCGCATTTGCGTTATATGGAGAGGTAAACCATGAAAACCTCCTACGGTTAGCCTAATTGAAAAGAGACTTTAACCTATGATCCGTCTTCCACTGAGGATATTTTTCGTCATCACTGTAGGCGATGCGAGCTAGGGTCGGAGTTCATATCGACCAGCCAACGTTGGGAACCGAAAGCGGTTCACCCGGGATTCGAACCCGGTTCACGCCTCATTAGAAGGCAAGAACTCTATCCTCTCAGCCACCACTGCTTAGATATTAAAAATAATAAGAAAACAAAGGATAGTAATTCTTACAACCGAAATAGATAATAGTATACATTAAACGTAGGTTACAAAGAATTTTATAACCCACCTCATATCTCATTTGCATTACACATCGCATTTAGTGACACCTGTGCTAACTATATAATGTAACAAGGACAAATTTTAAGAAAAATTACAAATAATTTTTAGCATATTTATATGTTTTTAGAAAATTTGATATCTATCCTTTCCCTTGATATTAATATTAAAATGATTATATAAAAGTCTTCGTTTGAGCAACAAAAAAAAAATATGAAAAATCATTAAAGTGTTTTCCAAGTAGCCTCCTCAAAAACAGCTATTGATAATAATTAGAGAACAAAGGAGAGAAATTCCTATAAGCGAAATAGACAATAATATACAGTAAAGGTAGGCTACACAGAATTTTTTTTAAACCCGACTCATGTCATATTTGCATCACCATCGATTTTAGCGGCCCCTGTTCTAACTATATAGAGTAACAAGAACAAAATAATAAAAAAAAAACTTGTATAAATATTCTTTTAGCGTATGTATATGTTTTTAGAAACTTTGACACCTATCCTTTGACCTGATATTAATTTCAAAGTTCTCTTTTGAACTAAAAAAAATTATTAAAAAACATAAATTTTCCTTCAAATGTCTCCTTCAAAAGCAGCTATTAATAATAATTGGAAAACAAAGTAGAGTAATGCCTATAATCGAAGTAAAAAGTAGTATACATCAAATCTAAGCAACACAGAATTTTGTTTTTAACCGGCCTCATATCATAGTTGCATCACCATCGATTTTAGCGGCCCCTGTTCTAACTATATAGAGTAACAAGAACAAAATAATAAAAAAAGAATTTATATAAATATTCTTTTAGCGTATGCATATGTTTTTAGAAACTTTGACATGCACATGATATTAATTTCAAAGTTCTCTTTTGAACTAAAAAAAATGATTAAAAAACAATAAATTTTCCTTCAAATGTCTCCTTCAAAAGCAGCTATTAATAATAATTAGAAAACAAAGTAGAGCAATGCCTATAATCGAAGTAAAAAGTAGTATACATCAAATCTAAGCAACACAGAATTTTGTTTTTAACTCGCTTCATATCATATTTGCATCATCATGGATTTAGCGACATATGAGTTCACTATATAAAGGACAAAGTAATTTTTAACAAAGTAATTTTAAAGGACAAAGTAATTTTAGTAATTTTTATTAAGTAAAAAATTTTTTTTAAATGTTTTATCAATACTTTTTAGCATAGTTATATATTTTCAGAAATTTTGACACCTATCAATTGACTTGATATTAATATCAAAAATCTATTTTGAACCAAAAAAAAATTATAAAGAATTCATTAAATTATCCAGAAAATGACCTCCTCCAACGCAGCTATTAATAATAATTA